GAGAGAGAGAGAGAGAGAGAGAGAGAGAGAGAGAGAGAGAGAGAGAGAGAGAGAGAGAGAGGTGGTTGCGAAGGCAGGTAGTCCCAGAGCAGGAGAGGCGAGGTCGCGATGGTTGGGTGTGGGAAGTGTGTGTCTGAGTCCGTGGGCAGGCCGGCAGGTGGTGGTTGGGTGGGGCTTGGGGGTAGCAGTCCTCCGGCTAACCCGTGTCTGTGGGGTGTTTGTGCTTTGTCGTGCTCCGACTGTCCCTGTCTGTGCTTCGTTGGTCAGGGGCCTCTTATTCCGTGATCCATTCCGTGACGGCTTTGGTGTTATTTCCCGGTAGTGGCGTGGAGAAGCAAGGCGTTGGTCTGAGTTTCCACACCAACGATCACGTCAACTGCCTTCCCTGGGGAACAGGGGCCCAGGGAAATCAGCATGAGGGAATCAGGAAACAAGAAGCTGGAGTGACAATCCCATCCAAGGGAGAGGGTATCAAAATTAGAGCTAGAGGTTTAGAAAGAGTGAATGACGCACCAGATAAACATAAGCTGAACGTCCAGTAATGTGGGGCACTGGACCTCGTTTCGAGCAGGTGATGATGTACATGATGTGAATGTGACTCGGCTGTATGGAATACGAATCGTCATTTGTGATTTTCTCTTCCTGTAGTGATGTCATTCCCCTTAGGGCCTAGTTGCACTACTTGCCATCCGCCACAATTCGTCGTGGGTGGGTGGAGAGTGAAAAAAATGAGAATCGCGTCGAACTGGAGGCCTGGCTGCACTTACTCGCCACTATACTTCTTCTACAGAAAAGTTAAAAACATTTTGTCTACCCGATCTCCACTCGTGTAGCCATGCACTCTCCAGAAAGTTGTTTTGTGGAGAGGTCTGAGGACACAGGCAGGGAAACCGAAAACACTTGCCACAACCTGTGTCGACGGTGTGGCGAGCAGTCTGACATATTTTTGATTTGCCAAGTATGGCGAGTACGGGCCTCGCCACACCTATCTCCAAAACAGCGATTTGGAGAGAAGTGACATCGCCACCCCAATTCCTGAAAATCACAGTCAGAAAGAACTTCGAGAGCGGTCAGAATGTGGTTCTCGGGAGTGCTCTCGAACTTTGTGGATTGCCCCGCCTGCAAAACACCGGATTTGAGGAGTGGTCTGAGGCTCCTCCGATTTCGAACCCAAACTGGAGAGTGCGCCTCGACCGACAATCTCTGTTGCCACCGTTTTGTCGTCTGTGGTTCGAGAGCACTCTAGAACCGTGGAGGTCCTTTCAGACCCTGGCCCGACCAGTTTGTGGAGCGGCCTCACAGCTGCACTGCGCTCTCCAAAAATGTTTGGCCTCGTCTGACAAATTGGAGACTGCCCTCTTCGAGAGAGCAGTGTGGCGACGAGCCCTCTCAAACGTTTTTTTCACATCTCCGGTGTTCGTGAGTGCTCCCAAACTTTTTTGCGTTTTCAGGATAGGTGTTGCGAGGCCCTAAATGCAACCAGGCGCCTCCTCGCCAAACCAGGCCCTTACTCCCGTTGGGATCTATTGATGGTTGGGCTCTTCGGAGTCCTTTCCTTTTTCCCTTTTCTCCCTTTTGTACCCTGTGAGTTCTTTTGTCATTTTGTCACCTGGGAGTCATTTTGTCCTTTTGTTCCTTTTGTCCATTTTGTACCTTTTGTCCCCTGGTGTGCTTTTGTCGTTTTGTCTTCTAGGAGGGCTTTTGTCCTTTTGTCCCCTGGGTGTCGTGTGCTTTTCCCTTTTGTGTATTCTGCGTCTTACTTTTTCCTCCTTTTGTCCATCAAGGGAGTGTTGTGCAGACCCCCTTGTCTTTGCCCGAAATCCATGGCGAGGAGCTGCTTCAGTGTCCACCCTGCTAGCATAGTGGTCTTTCTTTCATGCCTATGGAATAAAATGCTAGCCATGCGTATCTCTGTCCCTCGTGCTGAAATCCCTGCAGTTTGTGGCAACTTGTTTTCAGGTTGTGCAGAAATTTCCAGCAGTCAAGCAGTGACTATGGCTGCTGGCGCACTCGCAACTCGCCATGTAACCAGTCGGGCATCGGTAGTGGCTGCAAGTGCCAAAGGAGCTGCATTAGACACCAATCGACGGCGGGGAGAGGGCACATCCATTGTATGGTTTCGAAATGACTTGCGAGTTCATGATAACGAGGCTTTGCTCAGGGCATGGCAGGACTCGGACGCGATTTTGCCAGTGTTTTGCTTTGATCCGCGATTATTTAAAAAGACTTTTTCTTTCGGACTTCCTAAGACCGGAGGTATTCTCAATTTCTCCACCAGACTCTTGCACTTTTTCTGCTTAATATGTTTTTTTTGTTTTTTTTATCGTCGTAATGCTAATGTAGCTTTCCTTCCAACTTCGTATCCTGATAAATTGTGATGATATATATTGTAATGAACCCAGCTTCTTCAGAGCTCACAGTCAATTTGCTGATATTGCAATGAACCCAGTGTCATTTCTCCTTTCAGCTCATTTCGGTCATGTGGTAATAAAATTAAATAAATTGTTGTGGCATTGTAATGATCCCAGCTTCAGAACCTCACAGTCAAGAATCTTTCAGCATCTAACGATGATCAAAGATTTGAGAGAAGAATATAGCGTAGTGTTTGTTTTTTTTTTCGCTTGTATTAGTTTTTGTGGAAATTCACTGGCCTTTTTTTTTTTTTTTAAGCCTTTGAAAATAAGCGAGTGAGTTTTTCTGTTTGCCAAACATTTTCCAAGGTTTGTCCACTAACTCATGACTCATAAGCCGATGGTAACAACTGAAATGAGATAGCAATGAACAACAAGACCGTGTGAAGAAGTATAGTAAGCGAGTGGAATCTTGTGAAATAAATAAACAGTGAGCATTGTTGCAGTTGCTTCTCGTGACTCCTCCTCTCTCGCCATCGCAATGTATCCACTCCGCCGAAAAAAGTCGATGGTAATAACTGAAATGAGATAGCAATTCTCAGTCAATCCCCTGGGACACAGGGTAATCAATGCTGGCAGGCCTCATATTCATGATCCTTATACAGCATGGTTCTCAGCATGTTCCTTTTGCTTACTCCGGGTAGACTGTGAGGACCCCGGCCTCAATCTTCTTTTTTGTAATATGGGCCTTGGGCACTGGGCCCCTTTTTTTTATTAAAAAAAAAAAGAAAAAAAAAGAAGAAGAAATGAGATAGCAATTGACGACAAGACCGTGTGAAGAAGCAGAGTAAGCGAGTGGAATCTTGTGAAATAAATAAACAGTGAGCATTGTTGCAGTTGCTTCTCGCGACGACTCCTCTCTCGCCTTCTCAATGTATCCAGTCCGCCGAAACAAACAGGATGTCACTCTCCATCCATGCCAATTGCTCGCTAGCACTGGCCTATCCAAAGCTGGTGGTGCAGTAATGCTGGAATTTGAAATGACAATGCCTCTCTTCCGAAGCAGCATGGACTCTCCCTCTTCAATCATGATGACATTGCCACGCTGAAGCTATGGTAACCTTCCCACTCACTCACAACAATTTGAGTTTTCGACCTAGTGTGGCCATGGCGGAATATTATATGATATATTGAATACGGTGCAGCTTGGTATGATTGTGTACAAAACATACTTGTGGCGCATCCCATGTGCGGGGTCACGGCACATGCGGCGCAGAGCACACGCGCACGTGATGCGGCGCATCCCCGAAATAGGGGTCAGTAAAAAAATTCGGGAAGGGCAGGGTGTGATGACCAAACACGCCCCCTTCCTTCTAAACGGAAAAAAATTGGGGCCACCTTAAGCCTGAAAACTGCGTTTGCATGTCCTATTTTCAATCTCTTTTATGAAGGACCCTTGCAGAAAACTGGCAAGAGCTCATCACGAAGCAGAGATGGTCATTGAAGTGTGAGGAGGGCGTGGGCAGGCCGAATATATGCTCTGGATTTGAATTCAGGTCTGCGGAGCAGTTATGGGTTACCAACTTTGCTAGGCCAGATCTCTGCACGCGATTCTCCTTTTTTCGTTTTTCTTTTCTTAGGAATAGGTGGAGTCGCCCTAAATCTCGGTCCACTACTCACTACATGCACAAAACAAAACATTGGGCGGCGTATGGGTCCATGTTCTAGCGGAATATTCATTCTAGTTTTGCACATTCAGTGAGAAGCTCTGAGAATCACGTGCAGAGCCCAACATGGCCTGGCTAAGTTAGCAACCCATAACTGCTTAAACATAGACCAGAGTTCGAATTCACACTATATATTCATGGCCCGTTCTTGCTTCTGCAAATACGGTGCCCACCCCTGCTTGGTGATAGGACCTTCGCTTACTTAGTGGAGGGACCCCTCAGATTCCTTGCAGTGACCCTCCTTTTTACGTGAAAGAGGACCTTTGCNAGAGTGCGAACAGTGAGTTGTGTGGGCGCTCAGTCGCCATAGCCAGTTTGAAGAGAACTCTTATGTGGATACGATATCTTGAGTACTGAGTGGGCGCCTGTCGCCAATTTGCTGTTTCGCTGTTTGCATACATGACAAGTTGAATAATCGTAGTGTGATTTCACATCCACACAGGCCCGACCAGACGGAAAATAAGGGCCCTCCAGGCCCTGTGTCGTTTCAGCCTAAAAGCCTGAAAAGGAGGGCCATTTTCAGGCCCTCATAAAGTCGACCTGCCCTGAAACTTAGGCACCAGACAAGGGTTTAAGCACAGACCATTTTTGGGCCTGTTTCAAAACAACCTTTGTTTGAACCTCAATGCCAGGGTCTGGCACGATTCGGCATGGGCAAGAGCAACCTCCCAGGCCGGACCAGCACTATATAGTACCGGTCCGCCCTGCAGGCTGTAGGCAGTTCACGGGCACTTCATGTGCAGTTCAGGAGGCAGTCTTCAGGATGCGGCCGCAGCACTCTGCAGGAGCGCTGCAGTAGTAGTAGTAGCGCTGGGAGTAGTCTTCAGCGCTGGGCGCTGTTAGGAGCTTAGAGTAGCGTTGGAGAGAGAGAGAGTGGCGGAGGCCAGGAGACTTACCTGTGGCGCCATAGCTCCAGCTTCGCCTTCGATGTACCTGCAACAAGGCGCCACCTTCACAGGTTAGTACTTGGTACACCAGAGAGAGAGAGAGAGAGTTCGTCTTCTTCCTCCTCTAAGTCCACCATCTCTCCCTCACCGTCTCGCTACCTGACTTCTCAACACCTACAGACTACGAGAGAGAGAGAGAGAGAGAGATTTGCGACTTTGAGATTTGACGACATTTGGATTCAGACTCAACATTGGGATCGAGACATTGGACAAGGGATTATTTGGGGSCTGTATCGAAGACTTGGTGTTGACGACATTCCCATCGTCCCCCTCTTCTTCGTCTGATCCCCCTCCTCTTCGTCTGTGTATGGTTTGGGGACTGGCGCATTCTTCCTGTGTGAGCGCTAGGCCCATTCACACCATGTGATGATGATGATGTATGTTTGGTCTGCATTGCGACATTGATTGGTCTGATCATTGGTATTTTAGCCTTCCGCTGCGCTATCCTGTACTATGTGAGAGAGGTCGGTTCTTGTTCTGGTCTGCACCATTACGGTATGCAACAGTTTGGTATCGGAGCAGACCTCTCAATCAGAGGATCCGCCCAATCAAGGAGCCACCTTGCTTGATCGACTGATTGTTGAATGATTGATTGATTGATTGATTGATTGGTTGATTGATTGATTGACTGATTGATTGATTGATTGATTGATTGATTGATTGATTGATTATTAGTGCATCAAGTAGGGCTTCGTCAAATCTCTGCAAATTTCTTTTCTTTTTTGCAACTTCGGAGATTAGCATTTATTTTTTTCTTGTTTCACTCTGGGCATATTAGGTGAACTAGGGAGGTTATCATATTCTCGGACTCGATCTATTCCTCTCTGAAAGTGGAACCTCCATTGTAGTTCGCACAATTTTTTTTTTCAAGATCGCATTTTTTTTGAAAACCGAAACTTTGCGAAACCTTGCCTAGATCTCACTCATAGCGCTCCTCCGTAATGCCTCACTGATAACAGATCGACAGATATACAAATAATAAAATAAAGAGACAACTACGCCTGTGACCGCTGCACAGTTTCGAATTCGCATGAATCACAGTCCACTGCAAGTTTGGGCGTGGACCAGTTCGAAACTGCAAGAAAAACAGTAGACTGTGCGTTCGACGGCCTACCGGTTCAATAATTGGCGAAAACGGGAGGTGGCCTGGGCTAGTGGTACCTCCCTTTTTCCCGTGGCCTGGCCTGGGAGAGAGGTACCAGCAGCAGGGCCTCCCGTTTTGTGTTTTGTTTTTCCCGTTTTTGGCTTCTGGCGGGACACCGTTCGGGTTCGAAAACGACCCCACCGACCCTGCCATGCGCCCCGTTAACACCCGCCCCATTCTCTCTCTCTCTCTCTCTCTCTCTCTCTCTCTCTCTCTCTCTGTGTCTCTCTGCTGCTCGGCCCACAAAAGTGCGAATGTATCTGGTGAATTTTCGGCGTCAGATACATTCGCACCTGTTGTTTTTTGGCATGCTAATCTTCTCTGTATCGTTCCAATCCCCCCACCTCTCTCTCTCTCTCTCTCTCTCTCTCTCTCTCTCTCTCTCTCTCTCTCTCTCTCTCTCTCTCTCTCTCTCTCTCCCTCCAGGCACACCCCATGTTTAGAAAAAATAAAAAATAAAAAAAGTGCGCGTATCATTTGCACAGCGCTAATTTGCGCAAGGCGCATGGCGCACGCGCACCCAATGGCGCACCGAACCAGTGCGCCGCAAGCATGGTACAAAACTATAATAATTACAAACACCTTGTAGAATCTGATTAAAATTTTAAAGAATCTTTACCGTATCCGAGTTCACCCAGGCCAATTTGGCATGTGGTTTACCCGCTTGATCACGAAATCCAGATCTACTCAGGTTTTTAATTATATCAGAGATAGATGCTTCCAATGTAATATTGGTTTTTCCATGTACTGACGACCACAACAGATAATAAGAAAAATGTTTCCTACGATGACATGAAAAGCCATTGAATCCAGTAGCTAAAAAGAATGTAGAGCCATATATCCCATCAGAAATGGTAAAAGGAGCTTCTACATATTCCATTCCTTAAAATGCAGTAAAAACTAAAGGTAGAAGAATAGTGATTGGTATCATAGTAATATGCCATAAAGGGCTTGTTGTTTTAAACCAGCTAATACAGCATGATGAACCCAAGTTACAGCAGCTGCAGGTTGGGAGTGGTGGGGACCAAATGTGGGTATCAGAAAAAAAAATGGTACAGGCCGAGGGGCAACCAGACGAAACTGAAATGGCCAAGGATGCCATGCTACCAGGGTTGCAATCGAGCGAATCTGCCTTGGTAACGCCGTGTTTACCATACCAATCTTCTCTCTGTCATTCCAATTGTTGTCAGATGTTGGGAAGGGCTACCTGAACTGACTTCGTTGTTTCTTGACATCATGCACTTAGTTATGACACTGAGCAGGTGGCCTCCATTGCTCGTTTGATGCCTGCACTCGAAGAAGAGCGATGGCCCATTGAGCCCGGTTGGAAGACGATGTGTAAGGAGACTCTACACGCTTGGCATAGGCAGGTCAAATCACTCTCGGCATTCATGGGCGGTTCCATCTATACCACTAGTGACGCAGAAGCTGAATTGGCAAACCGCTCTTTAGCCGGTCCTTGGACGTAAGAGCTGTTCGAGGGTCAGGGCTACTGAAGACAGCAGGCTTAGGTGGTTAAGTAGATTGAACTGACCCATGGCTGCTGTGTACACTGGTGAAATACCGGCGAGGTGTGCAAGAGAGTGGTAGTCTAAGGAGGCAAAAGATGGTTGCCGTAATTAAGATCAGCATTGCTTGGCCTACATGATTCCCACTAACTGCCATTTCGTCAAAATGGACATTTTAAAATGTTTTTTTCATTTTTTGAACGAAATTGAAACTGACTTTTTTGGCCGAAAACAGATCCAAAACTTTGGGCGCTGAGGGTCTGGTGTTCTTAAAAAAAATGCTGGACCCCCTGGATGTATCTGGTCTCAAGCTAAGTCTACATAGTCCAGCGTTTTAAGAATGCTGGACCCTCAGGAGCCAAAAATTTGGACCTGTTTTCGGCCAAAAAACTCGGTTTCAATTTCGTTCAAAAAATGAAAATCATTTAAAAATGTCCATTTTGACGAGATGGCAGTTCACTTCAGAAAACTGGGACGGATTCCAAGCGATTGATTCTTCATTCTGCCCTTTTCGCTTTTACCTCTCTATCTTCTCTGTGCACAGTTGAACAATACCCAAGCTGATTGAAAGTTGATGTCCGTAAAAAATAATTGTTTCTGCAGCAGACACTATGCTCACTGTCACCTGCTGCTCATGATGGTGCAACTACTTGATGCTTTGTGTGTTGTGGGGCCTATGTAGTTGCAAAGTCAATGACAGATCTACTGAAAGCTTTGTGTTTGGTAGAGAACAATCAACATACTCCTAACCTCCTGTGTGTTTGCCGTCCACTTCTTCTCATCGTTCCCTCAAGGCCCAGATCAGAATATTGATTATCATAATTACGGTGTTTGGTATAGTCTATCAATTTCTGGGTCTTCAAGGTGTTCTGACGGGCAAGCTCACAGGTCGCCTTGGTTTCAATGCCTGTAGCCTTCGTGTCACCACGAAGTTCAGACTATATCGTCATCCCAAGCAGGGACGTCTGGCGTGTAGTCGTTGAGGGGCGCAGTGCATGTATCAACACATGACTTCCCTGCTGATTGTCCCGCACCGACACATTTGTCATTTGGTCGGATACTCGGCGGAGTTCCCAGCATATATCCAGCTTCGCTCCTACACATTACTGTGTAAGTACCCCAAGATGATGAGGTGCCAAATGACTCTGTCGATATGAGCTCTTGCGAGTCATCAGCCTGTTATCCCCGATGTACCTTTGATCCGTTGATCTCTTGTGATTGAGAAATGAGAGATGGACTTTCTTCTTTCTCCCTCCAGATATAATTGAGTCTAGAGAGTGGGTTATTAAACAAGATAATACACCGCCGGCCAAATCCAACCATCCCAGCTCTTATCTAGACTGAACCCTTTTTTTTTTTTTTTTTTTTTTTTTTACAAACACGCTCCATCTATTGGTGGGGAGCAGCACCTGCTGGAAACCGGGTCCAGCATCCCATGGCACGAACTGGGAACCGGGCCCAGCGTCCCATAACGAGCACATTCAGAAAACTCATCAGAAAATTCCATAAGAACTGAGACTAGAACTTACTAGAAAAATCCAAACGACCTAAGAATGGAATTTTGAAAATTGAGATACCGGGGTCATTACCCGGCTTTGGTTCAGAGGAATTGGAGCTACTTCAGACATATCTACAACAACTTCATGATTAGGCAAAATTCAGAAACGACTCAGAAGAACCCCCATCAATCCTCTTACCTCACTCCGGCAAGACTGACTGCATCGGAGCCACCATCTCTGCTGCTGCTGTACCATCCTCCCATCTACCAGCTAGCCCCCTCACTGATAGGACGCGTGATAACCCACCATCTTCTCTTTTTTTCCAGACATGTCTATGACAGCTTCATGATTAAGCAAAATTCAGAAACGACTTGGAGAAACCCCCATCAATCCACTTTACCTTACTCCGGCAAGACTGACTGCAGCGGAGCCACCATCTCTGCTGCTGCTGTGCCATACTCCCATCCTAGCAGCTAGCCCCCTCACTGTTAGGACGCATGATAACCCACAAACTTCTCCCACTCACCTAATTCTTCGTTTTGAGGTACGTAAGAATTCTTACCGTCGTTCCAGAAGCTTGAGAATAGGCCACAGGGGTCCTACGATTGTTCCAAAGACCTCGAAATCCCAAACAAACCATCCAACGTTCTTCAAAACTGTCGTACTCCCTGCCAATCTCTTCCAGGTCTCACACCCCCAATTTCTGCTGGGTTACAGGGCAACGCGACTCACCCCGGCTCCGACCAGCGTCGTCCCGGCAGCAACCCTTGGTTGTCCGTGGAAGGCACCTCCCCAGATCTCTCTACCAGACCTCACGCTCCTGCATCGCAGGTTACAGGGCAACACCCCAGCACCGGTCAACGTCGTTCTGGCCTTGAACAACCGCAGATCACTGAGTATAACAGTATTGAAGCCACCTAAGACAAGTTAGTAGGGATTCCAAAGTCCTGCAAACATCCTAGGACCACTAAGTACCCGAAAACTTTAGAAGAATATAAAAGCGGGGGGGACAAGACTAAATCTACCTACTATCCTAGATTCCCCCTTCCAACAGATGGGGCGTCGGTCCAGGCTTTCAGTCCTCGTACCAGAACTCACTTGATCTCATACCCCCTTCTGCTAGGGTAACAGGGCACCGCAACCATCCCCAGTACCGATCAACCTAGCTCTGACGGACAGGAAGTGCCTTCCTCCCTCGACAATTCCCTTAGCCCCTAAGCAGGTTACAGGGTTAGCACCCCGGCGCCAACTATGTCGGACGATCTGGTTATGCCTTCCACCCTCGGCATGAACCCTTAGCTAATGGGAATTGAAAATTGACGATGGCCCGGTGGGATTGAATTCATTGATTGCTCCAGCTTACTGGACTGAGAGGGGGAAAGGGCACAGAAAGCCAAACTCAATCCTCCCCTTGTGGAGCAATCGATGCTGTTCAGGTGTTCAGTTGGGTCCCTCAGCCTTAACGGATGGAAGCATACAGTGTATCCCGATGGATGTATACTTCAGACTTGCCGGGGGAAAGGAACTGGAATGATGGTCCCCAGAATGGGACAGAGACAGAGGCAGGACCATAAGGACCGGTGTTTCTCCCCCCCCCCCCCCTTCTTCTTCTTAAAAAAAGAAAAGAAAAAAGAAAAGAAAAAAGAAAAGAAAAAAGAAAAGAAGACTTGATTCAAGTTATTTATGAGGCACGCGCTGCAGGTGAGTTGTTAACAGAGGCACATGTGCATGAACATTGGTTTGTAGTGGGTGAGTAGTACATGATGGTGGGAAATATCCATGGGGTGGGGAACACCAAACTATGGTGGGAGTATGCTACCTTCTTCCACCGAACATAGGACACAATCATCATGAAGAGTGACGACTCTGACGAGCCTTGTTGCCCAAATACAGACATGATGTTGGCGTGTTTGTGTTTCATGCTGTCTTATTCTTGAGGATCGGTTCTGTTTTCCGTGGTCCCAAATATGCCACAGAAATCCGTGCCCAATTTCTCCTGGAGTCTGTGGAGGACTTGCAACGAACATTGGAATCCCAGGGCTCCGTTCTGGTTGTCAGGCATGGAAAGCCAGAGGATATTATTCCGGGGATCGTGAGGGCTTCTGGAGCACACACGGTATGTTTGTTCCTGCTGCATCCTTTCTTGCACCTGTGCCTTCCTGCCCCCCCCTCCCCCTCTCTCTTTCTAGCAGTTTTGTCAATTTAAGTCCATCAGGATTTGGATAATTTTGGACTCGTGTACCAACGAGCCTAGCTGTCGGGCAGGGGGGGCGGTGGCGCTGGGGTATCAGGGGGAGTGTCGATCGGTAATGGAGGCAGGGAGAGGTGGTGGGAGACTGGCGGCGGGGGGGGGGGGGGGGGGGGGGGGGCCTGCAGTGGGGTCAGCGGCGGGGGATGATACAGCCATGAACTCTCGTAATACAGACCCGAGTGCAAATCCAGATGCGACCAGATGCATAGAATTATCTAGTTCTGAATTACCAGGGGCAGGTCAGCTCAATGTTGATACCTCAAAGAGTCAAAGGCCATCGCCCTGTTCAACAACAACAACAAAAAAAAAAAAGGAGGGCATTTCGACTCATGCTGCTGTTTATCGATGGCAACGTTTGTGTACTTCCTGCTTCATCGTTTCTCTTGCACCTGTTCCTTTTTGGCCCCTTTCGCCACCCCTTCCTAGCTGTTGTGTAGATTTGTATCCATCAGGAATTGAGCTCACGTGCTGTTTTTATTGACAGCAGCGTGTGTGGACTATTCGGCCAGGGGGAAAGGTACTGACGGTGCTTTAGGCTTCTTTCATTGCACGTGTCCTTTTTTGTCTTAAGGTTAGATGCGTTTGAGCCATGTGAAAAAAATAAAAAATAAAAAAAATCTTGGAAAGCAGACTTGGATCCGAAGTGTTTTTTTCTTTTCTTTTCTTTTTTGAAGTTTTCTTTTTTTTTGAATTTCCCCCCCTTTTTTATTTGGTTTTGGGTATCTGCAATCATATGGCCGAGTCTCCATTCTACTCTGGGCGACTTATATCCAGTCCCTTTACCTTTGGCAAGTCAGAAAAATATTCGAAAGATACAGCAGTGAAACGGTATTCACCAATTCGTGGTAGCTGAGGTAGATCCCAGGGCTCGATCCCTAGTTTCCCAACTTACCTGTGTACAATACCAGCGTCAACTCGAAGAGTTGAACCTGCGACCTGTAGAACTGCCAGTGGTAGGTAGGTCTGTCGTAGGTCTATAGGTAGCCAGGATTCGATCCGTAGACCTATAGACTAGAAGGCTAGCTGCAGTCCTTCTAGAAGGTTGGCAAGTGGTCAAGTGGTGCAGGCAAGTGGTCAAGTGGTGCAGGCAAGTGGTCAAGTGGTGCAGGCAAGTGGTCAAGTGGTGCAGGCAAGTGGGCAAGTGGTGTGACTAAAGCAAGCCCATGTTGGAGAGAGTCTAGAAAGTACCAGTCCGGTCCAGCAAGTACCACGGGGGGGGAACTGTGTGCACCATGGGCCAGGGACACAAGGCAGACCAATGCAGCACAGAAGTATAAATCAAGAGGCTGCGTCCATTCATTTTTTCATTCCTGCGGATGCCATGCGGAAGCGCTGCCTAGCAGCTTGTGCGAGGAGGTCTGCAGAGTGCCCGAAGACGAAGTGGGCAGAGGAGTAGAGTGCAGCGATAGGTAGTGGCAGCTAGCGCTGCCATAGCTGTAGCCTAGCATGTGTGTGTGTGTGAAGTGTGATACCGAGTGTTGCGTGTGGGACATCCAGGGTGATCCAGAGTGCGAACAGTGAGTTGTGTGGGCGCTCAGTCGCCATAGCCAGTTTGAAGAGAACTCTTATGTGGATACGATATCTTGAGTACTGAGTGGGCGCCTGTCGCCAATTTGCTGTTTCGCTGTTTGCATACATGACAAGTTGAATAATCGTAGTGTGATTTCAATAAATCCAAAACTGCCCTTTGTTATCGCACGGGAACCATGGACAGCACCTCAATTACTTTGATGACGACCATGGACTGCCCATCTGGCCCCTATCTTCTTGTGTCAGTTCACGATTAAGCCGCCTGTACTTCTGAAGCTCTTCTTTCCAACACTGATGTCTGCCGTGTGCTCAATTGTGTTGAATGGGCGAGGGTGTGAAAAAAATAAAAACATTGAATCCTTTTTTTTTTGTTTAACTGCTGCCGGCCTTTTTCATTTCGATAGGCTGAGCTCCGAAAGACGTGGTGGGTCAACTGCTGTGTCAGAAGAGTCGGAACAAAAAAAAAAAAAAAAAGCTGGGAAATGTGCTGCTGGTTGGTGGTTTACGATGATGGGAACATTAAACATTTTCTTTCGAATTATGTGCAGCCTTTCCCTGGATGAGACATCTTAATGTATCTGGCATCGAACTTGCATTCAATTGTTATCTCAATGTTGAGTGGATGGGAGATGGAATCTCTGGGGGACCAACGGGCCTTGCTCAGTTGGTACACCAATGAACTGTTGAAATACAGACCCAGGTCCTAATCCCGATGCAATGAAATGAACAGAAGAAAATGATCTGAAAATCATTCTGAATTACCTGGGGCCGGTCAGTTCAATGATGATATCTCAAGAGTGAAGGCCGTTGTGCTTTAAACAAACAAACAAACAAACAAACAAACAAACAAACAAACAAATCTCCAGGTGCTTGCTTGATCTTTCGTTGCCGTAAAGGTTAGCTTTGCCGACTGTGAGATTTTTGCGAATTCTGACTTTAGTATCACTTTACTGGCCTGCAATTGCTTTTGTACTCTTAAAGCACCAGTACATGCCAGCTATCGGCCGCCGCGGGCCCCTTTCGGGGGCCGCCCGCCGCCGATTCACTTTATCTACGGCGCTCGGCCTCCTAAATTTTTGGAGAGGCTCAAAACAGGTTCTCCAGTTGCCTGGGGCCGTGCACTGTACTGGTGGTTTAAGAGTCTACGGTCAAATCAGTTCGAGCCATGGGAAACCTAAGCTGGTTTTGATTTCCAGCTCAATACTTCATACACATCACATCAAGGTCAGGGTTTCGTCTGATTGATTAGATTGGTCTCGATGCCCCGGTTTGTTTTGGAGATACCGTTGATCAGATGGATAGGGTTCTTCCATCATCTGACATATATTGTTTAAACGTGCATACATAGGTAGGTGTAGTCATCAACACATCTCTGCATAGGGACGCTGGACCCGATTTCCATCGGGTGCAGCTCCCCACCAATAGATGGAGCCTTCGGCGCCGGGCCCTACTTACTGGGGATGCTCTTATCACCTCGTTAAGTAGGTTTCCCGAACACGAAGTTAAAAATAAATAAATAAATAAATAAATAAATAAGTAAATAAATAAATAATAATTTAAAATAAATAAATAAATAAATAAATAAATAAATAAATAAATAAATAAATAAATAAATAAATGGAAGAAATCAGACGAGCATTAATACCTGAGAAAATTGGATCAGACATGTCCAAAGACTCCAAACTATTCTTGTTTGACAGTTGGAGGATGATTTGTTTAACAGTTTTAACTTTTAACAGTACCCCACCCAGGCAAAAAAAATTGCCTTCCTGAATTCAAGGAAGAGCTTTGCAGGGTCGGTAGAGGCTGGGTAGAGCGTCGACAGAGGCAAGGGGGTGTCCGTTTTGAAAACGAGAAGGAACGACCAGAGAAGACAAAACAAATAGAAAAAAAAAAGAAAAAAAAAGAAAAAAAAGAAAAAAAGGAGTTCACAAAAAAACGAACTGAGGATGACAGGTCGTCTTGTAATGCCCTGCCAGCAAGGCAGGCCGTATTGCACGCTGCAAGCCAAATCTTTGTTCCCTTTTTCTGTTTTCTTTCGTTTTTTTCCTCCTATCTGTGTCTGTGTAGCACCGAGCTACTTCGAGATGTCCGGGAAGCCCTGACTGTCGGCATACTCACACCAGTACTGTTCAGGATGTATCTGACCATTATCGCGGGCAAATGATTGTTTTTTTTTTCTCGTTTTTGCTATCTTGTAGTGCCCTGCCAGCAAGGCAGGGCGTTTTCCACATTCTCAGGAAAGGCCCGCACTGAGGCCATACTCACGCTGGTACTTCCCCGGATGTATCTAACCGCTATCACGGCCTAATAGATATTGTTGTTGTTGTGAAATTTTCCCCCTTCTATTACACGTTGTCAGGAATGCCGTCATTCAGGGCATAAAAAGAGGGGAACGGGGAGGAGGGGGGGGAAGAGGAAAAAAACAAAAAACAAAAGGAAAGACCAAGGGGAAAGAAAAAAAAAACGCTCTACGTAGAAGTACCGGTTGCCCGACGTTAAAGGACCGGTCGCCCGCTGTGTCACTGCTTTTCACTGGGTGCCTCCTGCCGAAACAAAAAGGTTCGGTAGCTCAAAAAAGAATAGGCTCGGCAGACTGCTCTGTAAGGTACTGGTGGCTTAAGTACTATTAAGTTATTAACTATTAATTATGTGCTGGCACTGCTGGTGGGTGGAATGTTGGGGAACTATGTGCAGGTGTATGGACAGAAAGAGACATGCAGTGAGGAGCTATATGTGGAGAGGAAAATGAGTGAGGCTTTGAAGTCCCTACAGACAGCAACCAGTGGCAAACGGAATGAGAGGGGAGTCAAGCTTCAACTCTTTTGGGGTAGCACACTTTATCATCTGGACGATCTGCCGTTTAGGTCCAGCCATGTCCCAGATGTTTATACCCAGTTCAGGAAGGTCAGTCTCTCAACTGTTTGTTTTTGTTTTTGTTGTTGTTGTT